ATTAGGGCAGATATCTTAAAATATTGTTTGTATGTATCACTAGTGCAGTGTTATTTGTCCCACCACTAAATCTTAATGCAAGCTTTAGTGGTGGGACAAATAAAGCAAACTTGCATATCACCCATTACAAATTTGATCTTTATAATATTTTGATAACTGTTTTTCAGAATAACTGGTTTCTTTTGTAATCCTATGTATTTTATTTTATGTAGTTTCAAACATTTCTCTACAGATGGATGCATCAGCTTCACCAGCACACCAGAGGTGTCCATGTCATAAAAATGGACAAGGACTCCTGGCCTAGAGTCTACAGCACATTTTTTTGAAGATCCCAAATGATACAACATCTTTTTTTTTTTTGAGAGTAGATTTTTGGCAATAATTAAAAGTCACCTGGAGAGTCAAGTCTGATAAATAAAATGGGTAACTGAATTGGGTCAACAAAACAGAGAGGGCCAATAAAATAAAATGATTTTTTTTTAATTTAGTAATTCTCTATATACACAAGTATATATTTGGGGTGAGGGCTCTACTATGTGCAAGTTACTGAGCTAGAGTCTAGGGATCCAAAAATTAAAAAAAAGATGTGGCCTGCCTCTAGATGCACAGCGAAAGGAGAAGGTGAGGGTTCTTAAGTAGCAGTGACTCTACTCCATTTTTTTTAAGGTGTTTGTTTTTAGGATACAAATTCTGGAGCATTGAAAAAATTTTACTTTATTATTTTACCTTTTGCTAACTGTAAAGTAAAATAATTTCTAGAGTCAGGCACTGTTTCTATTGATTTTGCCTTGACAGTGCACAGTCTCTGCTTATGGTTATGTCTTAGGGATGTTGTAAGTGCATTTAGTGTTAAGACTTATATCCAAAGGTTCACATCTGGTTTTGCAACTTGGATTTATTTTCTCAGAGCACTGTTAAAATGAAAGTTTGGGTTGTCAGGTCACTCACAAAAATCTACTTATATCAGAATGTGCATTCAACATAGGATTAATAATATATCCTAAATACAATTAAAAACAGCGCTTCTCTGGATAAATGCATTAAAAATCCTAAACCAGATGCCATTAGTTTGAAGCCCCTTTTGATGGGGCACTCTTCCTGTCAAAGCTAAAATGAGGGCAAGAGAGGTTAGATTCCAGGAGTTTAGCAACTGGTCAACTCCCTGTAACTGCAATAGACAGCAGCTCTCTATGTCAGTAATTCCTCTGAGGTCCAGAAGAACAAAGGCACAAAGAACAATCGGACCCATTTCGCCTTTCCCTCCGTGTCTAAAGCTTGTAAATAAGTCACTTTACAATTAAGCTCTGTGGTCAATGAAACAGGAAAAACAAACAGATCATTAGAACAGAACAATTACAAGAAAACTTAGTATAATGTAGTTATGTCTTGTGGGGTTAGGGAAGGCCTTCTTTAAAAAGACATCAAAAGCAAAAGCAGTAAGGAATAAAAATGATCACTTAGATTATATCATATTTTAAAATTTTTGTACTGGAAAAGGCATCACAGACAGTTCTAAAATGAGCAACGGACTGTGAAAAACAATTTGTAATCCAACAGCAGCAAAGGATTAATGTTCAGAATAGAAAATAAACTATGAATCCATACAAAAATGACAAAGTAACCCAATAAACGAATGGACAAAAAAATCTAAAGAGGCAAGTCACAAAAGAAGATATAAAAATGGCCATTACGTCTATGAGATGGTACTCAAATTCATTAGCTATCAGGGAAATGCAAATTAAAACAACAAGAAAACATGACCAGCACACTATTCAACTGCAGGTAGAGCTATAAATTGATACAGCCATCTTGGAGAAGCACCAGTCGTGTGTATTGAAAATAAAAATGTACACCCTGGTTCCCAACATTGGTTTCTAGAGAAACGATTGTGTAAAATACTCAAGGAGGCTTGTATAAGAACAGTCTTTAAAGGAGTGTTTGTGATGGTGAAAAATTGGAGACAACCTACATATACATTCATAGGGGAATACCAATATAAATGGAGGTAATTTCACAGTGTGGAACATCATGAAGCCATTAAAAGGAATAAGCCAGATCTATATGTATCAACATGAATAGAGCTCTAAGACAAACTGTTGATTGAGAAACCAAAGTTGTAGAACAACATATGGAGGGTGATATCTTTTATGTTACAGTCCATGGTGCCTGTGAATATACAGAAGACTTTGGGAAGGAGACACATCAGACAGTGATTACCTGAGGGCTAAGGTGATAGAGTGGAAGTAATCAAGGACTTACTATCATTACTTGTAATATTTAAATTTTTAAAAAGCAACTGTGTTTACATATTACTTATACAAGTAAAAATTAATAATGCAAAAAAAATTGTTTTAAGTCACTGACCTCAGATCAGGACAGTTACTAAAGTGATAAATCATTTCCCTGATATGAAGTACTACCTCATGTTTTATTTTACTTCAACAGTTAGAGGAGAGAGGCTTTCTTTCTTCCTCTCTCTATTCTGTAGTTTCAGTTTATAATCTAATCTCTCTCTTAACAAAGTTAGATTTCTACTAATTGCTCCTTTAATCTTTAATCATTACTGTGATAAGCTTGGGAGTCCCTCTGTTACTCTTGGAAAATAATTTCATTCCGACTATGTCGAGGTATGCCTTGCTCTTTCCTCTTGTATTAGAAAACCCTAATGCTTCATTGGCAGCGTTAACTTACCATTTCCCTCATTTCTTTTGCCTTTGATCTTTTTCCTCCCTGTTATTTAGCAGATCCAGGGTTGCATGTGCCTACGCTTTAACTGTTATGCCCTCATATATAATGGAGACTGCGTTGTGCTTGGAGCTCATTGGCAAAGTGATTGAGGGAGGGGGAAAGCGGGCCGTTGCTTGTTCAGAACACTGAGAAGCCCAATGTAGGCAATCTACCAAGGTGGTGAATGAAAAAGAGCCTTCGCTGTGTTCTTTTCATGTCAGAACTGTCCTCATTTCCCAGTTGTAAAGAGCTTCTAGCCCTTATAAATTTATACGGATTGACTCATACAAGCAATCATATATATATATATATATATCATTGCTGTGTGTGTGTGTGTGTGTACACACATAATATATACATATATATATTTTAAAATAGACAAGCACTAGCAGTTGGCTTAGATGGGTTTCATATGTGCTGTGACACGTCCCAAAGAGGAAGCTAAAACATTGGCAGTAAGTGTCCTTTTTGAGGTCCTGCTCTCCGTACATAAAGGCCACTGGGTCACAATGCTGGTGTAACAGTGGGAGGAATCTCCTCTGAGAGGTTACTTTGCATGAGAAGGAACTGGAGACAGTTCCAATATTTAGCACATATTATCTGAAAAGTGTAACAATTACCACTGTTAGAAAGATCTGGGTCTAATGTCACTGTCCCCAGCAGCCAGGGGCCTTGCAGTGTGGGGAAGAATAGGGAACCATCACTTTGCTGGAGGATGTTCTTTTAGCTGAAGACGGAACGGAGTTGGAGGTCTATAAGAGGAGTTAAGCTTTAGGGTATGAATGACTGAATTTGCCCCCTTTCTAAGAAACACCAGTTTTGCTGGGTGAGGGTACGAGTGGAGGTAGAGGAAGTGGTTGTCAACTTTCCCAAACTCTAGAAGTTTGGGATCAGTTGGCAAAAACTGCACCACTTGGGATGCCTGGGTGGCTCAGTTGGTTAAGCGTCTGCCTTTGGCTCAAGCTATGATCCCGGGGTCCTGGGATCAAGTCCCGCATCGGGCTCCCTGCTCAGGTAGGAGCCTGCTTCTCCCTCTCTCACTCCCCCTGCTTGTGCTCTCTCTCCCTCTCTCTGCCAAATAAACAAATAAAATCTTAAAAACAAAACAAAACTGCACCACTCAAGCTCCCTACTTTCATACCATGGGCAGAGTAGTCAGAGTGTGCTTTCTCATTGCTGGTTCTCATTTTTAAAGCAGAAGTTTAAAGCAGTGCAATCCCCTCGTTCCGAGGGTTTTGCTTTAAGCCACTGAAGACATGGGGAGTGAAAGCAGCATGTGACCATGGAGTCCGGGTGGTGTCCAACCTCAGACTGAGGTTGTGAAGAAGGGGCTTTTCGGTGTGGTCATTGATGCCAAGCCAGCTGGGAGGAACCCTGTAATCAGAAAGCTCAAGAAAGATGAGGGGCCAGCCCCGGTTAGGGCACTTCCTCCTACACTGCTGTCTCTGGCCACCTGGCTTCCTTGAAAACAGTATAATTTGGGATTTTCATGCATATGCATTTTCAATGCTATCACGCTTTCTCAAGGTTATCAGGCATTCTTAGTAAAGTGAAGCCAAACCAAGCACATATTATATTAAAAAAACAACAACATTAAAAACCAGGTATTTAAATCGGTTTAAAGAAGTTTGTTAAAGAAAACAGGCTCGGTAATGATAATCAGTCCTGTTTTTTTTAAAACAGTTAAGTAGCTAGAATAAGATCCTAAGCTACTCTGGGGCAGCTCTGCCTGGTATCTGGTAACAGTCCTGCAGGAATTTTGCTTGAGAGTCTGTATTGTCTTCCTGGAAGCCTTATGTTGTCTCTGCCGCATAAAGGAAACAGCAACTGTGATCATTGGCAGTAATGATGTGGCCTCCAGAGCATGGAGCCTGGAATTATCCTCAATCTGTCATCTTTCTCTCAAAGGGAGAGCAATGGCAGCCACAGCTTGCCCTTGATGTTTCTGGGACTCAAGAAGACAGGAAAGAGCAACATTTATTTCTCAATATCCAGGGGGAAATTACAAAATTTCAGTGGTATGATAGATAGATGCCTAAGTACTTAATGCAAGAAATCCTTCCCTAGTAGAAGCTACCCATAACCAGGGTGGGGATAAATTTCTGCCTGAGGGTTAATAGTAGAGACACACGCTCCCCTCTCTGGGTAGGAACCCCAAAATGTGCTCCATCCCCTCCCTGAACCTTTATGAGAGAAAGCGCCAGTTGAGAGAAGCCCTTCCTTCTACCCTGACAGGTGCAATGGCCAACTGTTCCTTGAGAGGGCAGGCTCACCTCATTGTCCTGGTGATTAATCTCACTGAGATTTGACTGTTGCACCAAGACTGTTAGGAGCCTGTGAAGAAAAACAGGAGAAGACGCTCAAAAGAACAGAATCTGTATGAGAACATAACGCTAGAAAGACAGTCCACTGAAGGCCTCCAAATGAAGATGGGCCCTTTCTGTTTATCTAGGGGAAAGAGCCATAGAAAAGAAGACAGTGTGATCCGTGAGGAGGCACCTGGGAGGATCCCTCTCTCTCTTCTCCTCCAACCTCCTCTCTGTCTCAGTGCCTCGGGTGGGGATGGGGCACAAAGGGCATGGAGAAGGTGAATCTTTTTTTAATCTTTTAAAATTTTTTGTTTTTTATTAACATATAATGAATGATTTGTTTCAGAGGTACAGGTCTGTGATTCATCAGTCTCATGAAATTCACAGCGCTCACCATAGCACATACCCTCCCCAGTGTATGGATGGGTGATGGACGTTGAGGAGTAGGTGAATCTTTAGGCTTATATTATTCACCAGACCTGTGTACCTATGCGTGCATTGAAGAACTAAAGTCCTCTAGTACTTATTCTTTATTCTTTTACCTAACTGTATACAATGCTTTCAAATTGCTTCACCATCAGTACATGGGTTGTGCCTTTTAAATGTATAGATTATATAAGGAGACAGCATTTACAACTTCGCTTATTTTTTATAAAACATACAAATATCTAAGCATGAAATGACACTAATCAGTGTGAAACAACTATCAGTGATTCTCAAGTTCAAGTTTTTATCTCAGTTGGGTCACACACTTGGTTGAGGGCAGTCAACATCATGGGAGAGAAGTGGCTGAGTGCAGAGGTTAGGGACCCAGAATCTGGAGCCAGACTGTGTGGGTTCACATCCCAGCCCCTGCTACTGACCAGCTTTGTGACCACAGGCAAGTATCTTACCCTCTCTATGCCTAACCGTCCTCATCTGTAAAATGGAGTTAATGAAAAGTGCCTACTTCATAGCTCAGTGTGAGGATTAAATGAGTTAATGCATACAGTATTTACAGCATGCCTGGAACACAGCAAGTGTTATTTGTAGAACACTTAACCCTAGAAGTGTTTTTTTTTTCTTTTTAAGATTTTATTTATTTATTTGAGTGAGAGAGTGAGAGAGAGCATGAGCAGAGGGGAGGGAAAGGGAGAAACAGATTCACCTGATGAGCAAGGAGCCCAATGAGGGGCTCGATCCCAGGACCCTGGGATCATGACCTGAGCTGAAGGCAGACGCTTAACCGACCGAAGCACCCAGGCGCCCCAACCCTAGAAGTTTTAACCCTGGCTCCATCTCAGAATCTCCAGGGGAAATTTTTTAAAACCACAAATACCTGGATTCTATATTCAGGGTTTCTGACTCAGTAGGTCTGGAGAGAAGCTCAGCTTTCACAGTTTAAAAGGGCTGTTCAGTAAATTCTAGTAAACAGGTCTGAAAACCACTGAGAAAGGTACTGAATAAATTAATCAATGGATACTCATTGCTATGAACTGAATTGTCCCCCCCACCCCACCAACAACCTCCAAATTCATTTGGCTCTGACCTCCAATGCCTCAGAATGTGACTGTATTTGGAGACTGAGCCTTTAAAGAGTAATTAAGTTAAAATGAAGCCATTAGGGTGGGTCCTAATCCAATCTGACTGATGTTCTCAGAAGAAGAGATTAGGGCCTACAGAAACACACCAGGTGCAGGGGCTCACAGAGGAAAGACCATGTAAAAAGGCCTCAGGCGAGTGATTATCTGCAAGCCAAGGAAAGAAGACTCAGAGAAAGCCAACCCTTCTGGCACCTCACTCATGAACTTCCAGCCTCCAGAAATTTGAAAAAATAGATTTTTGTTGCTTAAGCCATCCGGTCTTTGCAGTTCTGTTATGGAAGTCCTACCAATCTAACATACCCAATCAAGATGATAAAGGCATGTCTATGGGGAGACAGTGAAGAAAATTAATTTTGGAAGGAGTATTTGAAAAAATGAAATGGTTTAGCCTTTCCCCCAGTCAGATTTTCATTGTCTCTCAGCTTAGGTGACATGTAGTCCTGGGTGTTAAATTGCTACCTACAACAGAAGAAAAGAAAGTGGGACCGATTATGTTGCATTAGTGGTAAATGTAACACAAAGAGAGCTTAACTAGGGGTGCCCTTCTAGTTGTTTGCTGTGGAGGTGAAATAACCAGGAAGCCTAAGGTTTAAATCTTATCACTGTCTTTTGGGCAGCCAGGATAATGCTGTGATTTAATTCTGCCCTCACTACCGCGTGACCTCTCTGAGCTTCTGTATCCTCATGTTTATCATGGTGATAACAGCATGGGGATAACAGGTGGTAAGGACTGAATACCATAACAGGCATAAAGCTCTTAGTACACCGACTTGAAAAGAACAGTGGCTCTAAATGCAAGCTTTCTGAATTCTAAAATTCCTCCATCTAGTGGGATGAGGCTATAAAAGTAATTGCACTTGTGGATAACGCTGTGTTTATCTTGGTAATTATATTTCACTACTGGATATATTTTCCCTTATAGTTGCTTTATAAGGCTGGAAGGCAACTAGTAACTGATTTTCTTCTATCTCTTTACTGGCCATTGTCCAATCTCTAGGGCTCATTTGGTCTGAAGTGTGGGGGGAGAGTGGGAGGGAAAGGCAAGAGGTCGGCTGTGGTCCAATCTGGTTATCCTTGGCTAACCCCAAGCAGACTGAGATCATATGTAGCCAGACAGCATCTTCTGGGGCTGCTCCAGAGCAGTGATCACACTGAAGGAAGTTGGGTGCTGACCAGATGGGAATGAGGGAGGGGAGAGCAAGACCTCTTGTCACATCCTGGGGATGCCAGGGTCATGGGATGAATCCTGTACCTGGATATTTCTCTATTTGCTTCTCAAATCCATTTGCTACCCTTCAATGTTCTACTCTGAGATTGACCTGCAATGTCTTTATCGTGCAGGCTCCCTTGCCCTCTGACTTCTTTCTGGGTTTGGCCAGGAGAACTGGCAGGAGAGAGGGGGGGAAGCCACTTCCTTTTCTGACCATGACTTCTTTTCTTTACCAAAGGCCATGGCTCCTGCCAGGTGGATCCTCTTCTCCAGCCAGGACTCTCAGCAGATTCCAATAACAGCTCCCTTCCTTGTCCCTCCGGCCTAGGGGTGGAACATTTTCCTGTTTTGGGGGGTGGGCAGGTGGAAGTGGGGAATTCTGTTACTATCTCTTGTGAGGTAATTTTCAGTAGTCTTCCATGAAGCTTTCTACAGTTACCCTCTATTATCCCATGCCTTTCCTCTTATGACCAATTGATACATGCCAATCTATATTGCTTGATTCCATTTGATTCCTAAGTGTCTCAGATTCATCGATTTTCAAAGATGGACACAAATTTACAGATAAGTATGCTCTCTCTCGCTCTCTTTTTTTGTGAGAGCAAATGACATGAGCCCTTACCTTGCTTGCAGGCCCATCATGCATTGCTGTGGTGGTGATCCAGACTGGACTAGAAAGCAGGTGTTTAGTTTCCAGCCTGGGGCTTCTGTGCTGTTCCATGGTACGGGGGTCATCTGCCAGATGCTGGTCCCACATCTGTCTTAATTACCAGAGGACTCACAGACCTCTTAGTTTTGTTTTCTCAGAGCTCTCGTTCTGTGCTAAGGTGGCTCAGGAATATTTCCCCCACAACCCCCAGCCTAGTCTCTTATTAGCACCGGCTCTGTCCTGTTCTCAACTCTCTAGGAAGCAGTGCAAAGCCTACCTTATCCCAGGTAGCAGGACAGCAGGTGCAGATGCCCAGCAGGAGCACTCCCAGACAGGTAGCATGGTGAGTGGTAAGACAACAAATGCTGGGGCCATTAGAATCCCTGCTCCATTACCAGCCAGCCAGTAAACTTAGGCAAGCTAGGAAACTCTCAGTGCCCATATTTTCTTATCTTTGAAATAGAAATAATAATAACACCTACTTCTTAAAGATCTGTTGTGATTTTAAGTGTGTCAATACATACAAAGCACTTAGAATGACATTTACATGCTGTAATAAGTTCTCTATAATTTAATAATCATTTTTTTTTTTTTTTTTTTTTTTTTAGAGAGAGAGTGTGTGTGTGTGGCGTGTAGGCAGAGGGAGAGAGAGAGAATCTCAAGCAGGCTCCATGCCCAGCACAGAGCCCATGCAAGGCTGGATCTCATGGCCCTGAGATCATGACCTGAGCCAAAACCAAGAGTTGGACTCTTAACCAACTGAGCCACTCAGCCACCCCTAATTTAATAATTTTTTAAAAAGCTCCTACTCTTTATGTTTGGGGATCCCCTAATCTCCATGAGGTGATTGGGAGGACAGAGAGAGATCAGCTAGGTGTGTGCTGGGGTGAGGGCAGCTTGTCTCTGTGGGCTTCTCTGTTTTGCTGGCTCCTTGGGCTCTCAGCCCTGAATCTGGCCAGCACAGTGATGACTGGGGAAAAGGGTCTCTAAGCTAGCTGTCTGTCTTCCTGTTCCTAAAGCTGCCGATGTGAGAGTATCCCATAGTATAACACCCACCCACAGGTTAGAATATATCACCTTGTACCTCGAGAACAGGACTCCAAAGAAATAATTTCCTTCCTCCCTCTGTCTGTCATCAAGAGCCATGAAAAGAGGCAGAGCCGCAGGCACTCTGGCAGGGAAAAAAAAAGAATCTGCCAGTAACCATGGAGACCATGAAAAAGACTTTCAGAGAGCCCTGTGACTGCTTTCAGAAGAAATCGCTGCTTGCCTTCCAATGCTAGCATGTGCAGCGTTGTACAAACACAACTCCTTTCTCTTTGGAGCTTCATCTTAACAATCAGGCCCCCTCTTTCACACTGGGGCCCTCCAAATGTCCAAGCCAAGGAAGCAAGAAAAGCCATGGGGAGCTGAAAGGAAGAAAATATGGACCTACTGAGAAGCTGAGGGTTCAAAGCAGGAAAGGGAACCATGAGATAAAACCTGCAATCCTTTGCTTTTATCCACCAACTTGCTTTCGTGTTCGTAATTATAAATCCCTTATTCCTGCATCAGCTTAAATCCCCACTGAGCTGCAGCTTAGCTAAGGCTGTGTATTGGAACTGGCTGGTTTGTTCGTGAGTTGTTTCCATCACAGAATCTTGCTGGGGGCAAAGGGCTAATTGAGGTGTCCCCTTGGCTTGTTTATAAGCAGCTACAGTCTGAGGCTTCACTCTAAATAACCTCCAGTTGAGCACTGAGTAGAAGGATCATGCTATTTGGAAATCTAAGGGTTAGTAGATTTTAAAATGAGTATGAATACCTGAGTACAAGGACATAATGTGGCCCATACATATGTTTATGATCAGGGGACAAGTAGAGATGAATGTGCACTAGCAAGGTAGGGAAGGGAGTTTCAGGGGAGCTGAATGGTTGAGTTTGATGTTCATTGGATTCTAAAGTCTAGCAACAGTCTTGTAGGGGCCAAAGGCAGGCCACCCCAAGATGGTCTACTTTGGCATGGACATTACTTTGAGTTAAAAGCAATCAAAACTCAGTAGATTCAGAAAAAGCTCTTTAGCTCCCCTTCAACTGCCTGCCTCTACCGGGAAGTGAGCTATTAACAGAGATTCCCTTTTACCTAAGAAACTTACCTGTCTAATAGCTCAATCTTTGTTTTCCAAACATCTCCTCTCACCTTCCTTCTAATGGCCTTCCTCCCCTTTGTATGCTCAGACCCCAACCCCTCTCCTTAGATAAGTATCATGTTGCTTGACTGTCTCTGGATTTTCCATGTCTGTGTGGATTCCCAGTACATATGCTACAAAATTTTAGTTTTTCCTGTGAATCTGTCTCTTGTCAGTTTGGTGCTTAGTCCAGCTAGAAGAACTCTGAAGGGTAGAGGAAACTCCTCCTCCCCGACACACCTGTATGTATGGACATATTTTTTGCGGACCTGTGTGTGCTAAGGTAAAGAAGACTGGGGTGAGAACTGATGAGATGAGAATAGCAGGGATTCATTCTTTAGCATTGATCTATGGTATCTCTTTATTTCTATCTACCTTCCATCATGATCATCACTACTATCATCATTATCACCGACACTTATTGAACAGTGATGATTGACAGTGTTTGGTCCTTCTCACATGTTTTCTCATTTACTTCTGCCTATTTACTATGAGATAAATACTGTGTTATTCATACTTTCTAGGAAAGAAAGCTAGCTGAGTCTTGATAAGTTAATATGGTCATTAAGAGGTGGACCAGATTCAAACTCAGTCAATCTGACTACAGAGCTTGCACGCCTGTCCACCCTTTACCTCAATCCAAAAAGGATTTTAGGTGGTTTTCAGATACATATAGTAAAACAAGACTGCAAGTAAAGAAACTAGACAAAGAGAAAACAAGGGCGGATAAAGACGATGCAATTATGGTCCTACATGTGTTCCAAAGGTGGGACACAAATTGGGCTTTGGGTTTTTTAAACATACAGAGAGAAAAACATAATCATAAGTCACAGTGTCCACATAGTAAAAATAAATAATTTATCAGAAGAAGCACAGCAATTCCTCCTTTAGTAGATATATTTTTTGTGGCTTCTCATTTTTTAGATGCTATGACAAACAAAGTATTTCCTGACAATGAGATAATAAGGAATTTTGTAAAGCTTCTTAAGGTAGGGCTTAATGACAGAATGTGGCCATTAAAATACATTCTATAGGGTTCACAGCAGTGGATCCTAGGAGCCTAGCAAGTCCCCTGGGCAGGTTACTTATTATCCTCACACATAATAAATTACCTTCTTAGTGCCTCAGCTTCCTTATCTATAAAATGGGGATAGAGATACCTATCACATAATGGTGTGGTCAAGATTAGATGAGATAATACATGGAAAGCACTCAGAACTTTGCTCAGAACATGGTAAATAATCAGTGCTATTTGTCCTCCTTTTCCTCCTCATTGTAAATGCAGGCCTATATACCTTAGTGGTTAGCTGAACCAGCCTAAAGTTGTATCCACTTAGGAAGATTAAGCAAACAGGTTTGCATGGCCTAATGGAAGGTCACTCCTTCTGCATTGTGTCTGTAGGATTAAGAAGTACCCACAAGCCAGACCAATTTTTTTTTTCCAGAAAACAATTACAATTTCATGCTGACAAACAAACAAATGGAAGAAAGAAGGCCAACTTTTGTCCCAGAGAGCTTGGCTTGGCTGCTTTCTGCTTAAAACACTGAATGCAGATGCTATCAAACCCTGACATGGACATAACTTTTCTCATAAAACAATGATAAAATATCTAATTTTAAGCAATGTAATTCCAGAGGGAATTCTTTAAGGCAAGCTAGTTTCTAAATGTTCTCTAGGTAACAAAGCCAGTTGCTTTGCTATATGAGTTGTTGAGGTTTAACCCAATTCATTTTTGGAGAACATTTACCACAAATGATGGTTTTGGAATAGTTAATCTTAACCTAGTTACTGCAGCTAGTATTATCATAACTAAAGCAGGATTTTATCTACCAGAATCAGCAAAGTGTCCATTTAGGACAATAAAACTGTATCATCAGCACACAGAAGGATGTTTATTTTTCTGGCTTCAGCTCTTCTGAAGGTGGTGGCTGGGTCATTAGGTATAATGTCAAGAGAAGGGGAAACCACAACTTTGTGTTATCTCAGTTATAGTGATGTAATGTAAATCCTAGGAGATTTAGGGCCATTGCTGGGCATAATAAGAAATAGACTAATATGTCCACGAAGAGGAAGTACAGTTGGATTGGTGTTCAATTTATTACTGTAGTGATTTGAGATGATGAGCCTAATCAACTGACCAAATTGACCTTGAGTGTGATTTTGACTGACAAGTCTTGGTTCACCCCTCAGGTGCAATGGCATGATGACAGCTTTCACCAAAATTTATGACCTCCTTTCTTGGATTAGAGTCATTACCAGGAGGTGGATTCTATTCTATATTCCCAAGTGCTCCTTATACCCATGTGTAGTATAGGACCAGTATGGTAAATGACTAGTCCTTATTAAAAGAATGTGAGCAGAAGTGAATTGTATCAAAGGCTGAGATTTTAAAGAAATAAGAGGGGGCGTCTCCACATTACTCTTTCCCCATTCCCAGGCTGAATAAAGAGAATTCTTTGATCCTAGAGGATGGTGGAGCCACAAGATGGAAGAAACTTAGATCCCTGAGTTACCATGTGGAGGGGAGCCACCCCCAATCCAGGAATACCTACATTGGACAAAGCTCTTCCTGTGTTAAAACATGAAAGCTTTGGGTTTAATGTGTTACAAAAGCTATAATCACCATAAGAAAAGCAGTCATATATCTTCCAGAATCAGGCAGATTTTAAAATGATCACTGGGGAAGGCAGGTAAAACCAAGTAGAGCCAATCAAGGCAGAATAGTCTTAAAGATATTTTTTAAATATAGTTTTTTAAAGATTATTCTTGGGAAAACAGTGTGATTTTGTGACTAAATATTTCTGTGGGCTGTCTAGAAAAGTCATTCTTTCTTTTTCCCAATTCATCAAAGAGGAGTCATCCCTTTATGATGTCTATTGATTGTTAGTTCTGAGCTTGCCGTTTCTTCTCTAAACTTCCTTGTTTTGTTGGGCTTTGAGTAAATCCTAGTTCTTTATTATTCCTGGATATAATCCAATGATAACAAGAGGCAATGCTTGGTTGGGATTAGTTCTGGAATTTCCCAAACCCTTTTAGTGTAAAACAGAATGAAATGAAGAAATCCTGTTACCTCTCAACCTTGGTCTCATGAACCCCCACAGAGCTTTAGTTTTAGTTCTGGACACAGGCTCTAGAGGATGAGGCTCCCAGAATGCCCCTCTGTGGTGCTGGCCTACACCTAGCTCTGGGGAATGCTAAATTCCTGTCAGAGGCATGTTCTGTGCTGCAGAGGTTAAGGAAATGCCCAGAAAGTTGCTGATTCCACAGTAGGAAATGCTGTTATTAGGTGCTCCAAGGGGCTTTCAAAAGATTGTAGACTGAGGCCTTTTAGACACAGAGGATTGGGGAAGCTATACTTGGTCTGGACAAAACTTTTTCCTTTGTTGCTCAATTGTCTTACAAAAATGTGACTCTCTTGATCATCCAACTTCTTTTGAGTATATTTCTTCATACAGCTCCCAGCAGCTCAGAGGCCTGGTTTTCCTTCTAACCCACTCGTTTCCCTGTCTCACTCTACTTTGCTGGGTCCCTTGCCTCCTTCCAACCCATAAATGTTGGCATGACTCTGGGACACTTGGGTGGCTCAATCAGTTAAGTGTCTGACTCTTGATTTTAGCTCAGTTCATGATCTTGGTGTCCTGGGATGAGCCCCTCATCAGGCTCCGCTCAGTGGGGAGTTTCCTTGGGAGTTCTCTCCTTCTCCCTCTGCCCTTCCCCTACTCTCTCTAAAATAAATAAACAAATCTTGAAAAAGAATGTTGGCATGACTCTGACTTCAGACACGAATCTTTATGCCCAGTCAGTGCTTTTCCACTCCCCTCCCCACTATTTGAAATTATCCTATTTGTTTTGAAATTACCCTATTTATTTGTTTACTAGTATCCCACTTAGCTCCTTCAGTAGAGTGTAAGCTCTGTGGGTCAGAGACACTGTCATGCTTACTGGGAACCCCTAGGGCATAGAATAGCACTTGGTCCATGATAAGCACTCAACAGTTATTGAATCAATAACTGCCTGATTGAATGAATATATGAATTCAGAAATGAAAAATAGCATTTCTTAAATCAGAGATTAGGAGGAAAGGGTTTTATTGAAATGGGGGGGGGACTGAGATTAGAGTTTAAGATTCTTCCAGGATATTTTGATTGACTGAAATGTGGTCCTGTCTGCTACAACTCCAAAAAAGTGGACAGGTTTTGTTTTTATTCACCACTGAGGGCTGATTAAGTTACATTCTAATCCAAGCTAAGTCCCTCCCAGTGTGCGCATTGTGTGAACCTGGCTACTTACCTCACGTCGGGCTCAGCAGTGGCAGCGTGCAGTGGCAGACGGCCATTTTTATCTGGGATATTGTGCTTGGCACCATTTCTAAGCAGACTCACACAGCCTTCCAGCCAACCCTGAAATACAAGAGCAACTGTGTCATTATATAACAGAGCCTGGTATAACATAGACCAACAAACTTTCTCCAATTTTCTTTCTCTTTCTTCTTCAGTGTGGCTAAAAACATGTGTTATTGATTTGAAGTGGTTAAGGATCACAACTCCAATTTAGGCACTTCAACAGAAGGCTGAAGGTCTTGAGGTGTGGATTCCTGAGTTTCCTAGACTCTCTCCCCTGTCTCCCATTTCCCATTTCTTACTTGTTGTTTTCCACTTTTATACTGAGTTCTTAGGGCTAAATGTGGCACATAGTAGCTCTAGCCTCTCATTCTATGGGCTTAGCTCCAAATCATGCTTGTCAATGGTCTGACCCAGGTGCCATGGTCCAATTCCAAAAATTGGACTCCTATGTCATTTTTGAGTTCCAGTTGACACTCTGTGCCTCAGTTTATCTATATCTGATAAACAAGCTTTGGTCCACTTTTCCAAGTTCCCCTTCTAGTAACCACGAGGATAATATTTTGCTTATTCTAGTCTGTCTCCTCCCAATATCTAGAACCCTAACCTGAGGCCTAATCCAATGGCTGGGTCCCTGCCGTCTTGTTGAATGATTTTTCTGATGCTGAATATGGGGCTATCACCAGAACCCTCTAAGTGTTCCCTTTAGTTGTGTTTCGCTCACTATGAATTCCCCCAAGAAACTTCATGTAAACTCCCTGCGGTCCACTGATTCTCCAGATTGAGAGTGATATTACTGCAGCTCATGCTTGTCGCCTTCCTGGTTAGCACTTATGGCTGGGTCATTTCCCCACTATCTCTCATTTCAAAGGGCAGATAAAATGGACAGCTAGTCCTCCCTCACTTTCTGTTCTATATTACTTTAAGTAACTGACTCAACCCTACTGATAACCAAGTTTGGCTAAGGAGAGTGCCTCCTACATTCATCCAGAGCCACTGGGGTTACTCATTCAATTATGAGTAGACATATATGTAGATGAAACTATTATTATGAAGAATAATATATATAACTCTCTCTCCCACCTTCCTCCATTCCTGTATAGTTAAGCTTCAAGACTACCCAGTCAGATGAGAATGACTGATTTTCCCTCACAATACTGGAAGCAATGAAAATCAAAATGTTACTAAATGAAAGGAGAAGAAAGATAATAAGAAAAGAAGCTTTTGGTTCTGGAAATTCTGGAAAAAAATCTTTCAGTAAGAGCACATTCATAGGTTCTAATATTGAATATCGTTTTGAATTGACCGATAATATACGTCTTAAGTAGAAGCAAATGTTGTTCAGTCTTGAGTTATAGTTTCCTAATGTATTAAATCTGGTTTTAGTTTCTAACGTCCAAGTCATCAAGATCTCTAATTAAAAGAAAAAATATGACTGGGAAATCCAAAAGAAAGGCAGGCATGCTGGACAAATTTTAGAGTTGCCTAAGTTTTATAGTTTTTGAAAACAGATCTTCTGATGGGGGAGGGTTTGAAACATATTTGTCATTTTGCAACATTTCCTGGAACTGTGTGTATGTGGTTTTCTTTTTTTCTTCAGAAAAGAAATCAGAAAATCACTGAATATACTTGAAACCAGTGGTCACTATTCAGAACCAACAAGTACATTTTTCACTATGTGCTGGGTGGTTCCACATGTGTTTCTCTTTCACCTGTGATACACATAGGATATTATTTTTTACTACATTTTACAAATGAGGTAGGAGGCACAAAGAGGTAGAGTGATTTGCCTAAGGTTACACATCCATGGTAAGTATATTTGTATGTTGAGTTTGGAGCTGTGATGGACACTTAATTTCTAAGTGCCCGCTTTCCCAAGTTTCTCTTTTAATACTTGAATTCAAATGTTGCTAGAAGGGAGTGGTGGGCTCCACAATGCAACCCCCAGGACCACCCCTCACCCTTCCCAGGGAACCTCATAAGAAACAGGGATGGGTCCTTCCTTCGGTTACCACAAAGAAGAGGGGCCATCATTAACAGGGCGATGCCACATGCTGTCATGCAGGCCTATTTCCCTCATGTAGCTCCTTAAAATGCATTCCTAGGAAGAGCTATCTGCAAAGGGAGCACCTCTCTAGGCTCATTATTCACTCTGATCTACAAGATACCTCTTCCCAATCCTGGAACTTTAGAATTTTGAATGAAGTGCTGCTTGGTTTCCGTCTATTCTCTATGCAAGTAGCAGTCAACTTTAGAAACCATCTCTATTCACTTCCTCCACCCCCTGATCCAAATTTTCCCTTCTCCTTAGCTTGGATACAAAAAAAAGAAAAAAAGAAAAAAAAAAAAACTCCTCCTTCATTGCAGGAGCAGTTATTAGGGCATGCTTCAGAAGGGAAGGGGCTAGAAGGGGATTCCTGTGACTCTCTGAGATATGAGTACTCATAGACCAGTGGTTTTCAAACTTAAGTGAGTACAAAAATGGCCAGGGAGGTTTCTTTAACATGCAGACACCTCCCCCGCCCCCCCACTACCCGTGTCTGCTCACAGTGTCTGACTCAGGAGGTCTAGGGTGTACTCCTGGAAAGTGCATTTGAAACAAGTACTCCAGCACTTTGAAAAATTCTTTCTAGTTTCATGTCTAAGTCCTAGAGAAAGAGGACATGCAAATAGAAAAAGAAAAAGTAGTTTCTAAAGACAATCTCTGCAAGAATTGGGCAATGCCTCATGCAGTCTCTGCTAGATCGTGGCAGGAAGGTGTGGTGTTTGGGGAAGGGACATTCCTACTTCAGCAGGACAGTTGCAAGACAGTGGCGCTTGTTCAGGGCAAATCCCCTGCTGTCAATGGGCAGCAATAGCAAATCCAAGAATCTGCTTTGGCAGCAACAATAGTTAGAGGAAGATTTCCAGGAGCCTCACTGGAGTAAAGGAGAATGATGACCCACGTGTGGCACTAAGAACTTGCTTGACATAGACTCAGGGTAGCCCTGTGGTTTCTTAGAAGGATTTGAGGGAGGATTTGAAAAGAGAGGAACTTGAAGGTTTTCAGGAAAGCTTAACCAAACTTGCTCTAATGTTAGAAAATGCTGAGCTGAAATCTCTTGACGAGGACTCACTCTAGATAATTTTTATACTTAGTATTGATTGTGGGTTGAGTCCTATGCTTGGTATTGCCACTTAATAGCCTGACATGTCTCCCCTACTCCTATCCTCCCCACTTTTCTCAGTTCCCAATGTTCCCCATATTCTCCAGCTTCCACTCAACTGATCCTACCCCACAATATTACCTGTAGCTTCAAGGACTACCACCCACTCAGGGTATTAATGGACTGTGTTCTTAGAAGGAGGACCAAGTATGTCCAGAAATGCCCCAAGGCAAATTCTGATGCAGTTAAGATGGAAAGTAAAATTTCTGTAATGGCAATATTGCCTCTATCTTGGAGGATTGTTAGGAAGATCCAGAATGACTCAGATCCACAAAGCCAACTCTTTGTAGTGCTATAATTGTCAGAGATGATTAGAGCAAAGATTCAAGTTCTGCTTCCACTGGCTAGCTGCATAAATCCAAGAATACTCTTCCACAAGGGGGACCCCATAACAACACATTTAGCCCTCCCCACTCCCTGACAGCCACCAAAGACAGAGTTGGTACCAGATAGGTTGCCAGGCACAGACTTGTGCGACCATAAGCATCCTGCATGTTAATATTGGCCCCCATCTTCAACAATAGCTTCACTGTGTCCACTTGACGTCCAGAAACTGCATGCATCAAGGGTGTACATCCTGGAAGGAGACATTTCAATAGCCTTTAATAATATTTGACTTGTGAAATTTATGGGCAAAATTTTTTGCCCATATATGCTCTTTGCAGATAAATGAGCTGCCCTCAACACAAACCCAGCTGTTGAGCTACATGGGACTGAAGAGAAATGAAGATGATTGTTGCTACAGTTATATATGGGACCTAAGAGAAATGAAGATGATTGTTGCTACATTTATATAAACTATGTATTTTTTTCTAGCTCTATTAAATCTTCTGTAATTTTGCAGTAATTGGTTGATTAAAACATTTCGTGCCAATGATACAAATTCCTCATTACTACCTTGAGAATCAGTACAATTTGGGACTAACAGGCAGGTTTATCCTCACTTGGCTTGAACAATGTAGAATCTGGAAGTGTCTGGAAAGCAACTCGAGCCAGGCAGACAGTTCCAGCACACTTTTATTAGAGCTGGTAGGTGATAAACGGCAGTGATGGCAGCCTAGCCTCAGCTTGCATACAGTCTTAAGGAAAGGGTCCACCTTTGTTGAAATACTTCTCTGTTTTGGTTATTAATATAAGCCAAGGCATTTGGTTCTTCATGTCTTTTCTTTCTGAACAAAAACAGAGATGAAATTACACATTCTGATTAACTTGTAGGCCTGCTGGAACAAGCTAGCCTGGTGAGGCAGAATCCAGGGGCTTCACACTCCTTCAGGTGAAGAAACCAAACCTCAGACACAGTCCCTTGCCAACCTGAGACTTGTTTACAAGTCTTTTCATTGGCGATTCACACCTTCTTCCTCCGAACCTGCAAGCTGTGACCCCAGGAGATCCCTGAGAATGGACAAATGGCGGGACCGCTGTTCTCACCGAAAGATTGTGCTGGCAACCCAGTTGCTCTGCAAATCTCTCCCTTCCAATGCTCTTTGGGTAAAAGCAGCAGTGAAGCACTATGTCTTCATTAGTCACAATAGTTCCTTCTTTATTTCTTCTCTCTCCTCTTTCTCTTCTTCCATCCCTCCCTCATTCCTACCTTCCTTCCCTCCCTCTGTCTTTGTTTTTCTGTTTGCGGGTTTTGAATTGCTCTAGCACTGTTTGTTGAAGAGGCTTTCTTCCACTGAATTACACTTGCACCTTTGTCAGAGATCAGTTGAGTATATTTGTGTGAGTCTATTTCTGAATTTTTTGTTCTTTTCCATTAATCTATGTGTGTAACCCTCAGCCATTACCACAGTCTTGATTTCTGTAGCCATACAATTAAGTCTTGAAATTTGGCAGACTGATTCCTCCTGCTTTCTTTTTTTTTGGCATTTTTATTTTAATTCCAGTTAGTTAATATACAGTGTGATATTAGTTTCAGGTGTACAGTATAGTGATTCAACACTTCCATACGTCACCCGGTGCTCATCATGACCAGTGCCCTCCTTAATCCCCATCACCTTTTTAACCCATCCCCCCACCCAGCTCCCCTCTGGTAGCCATCAGTGTGTTCTCTATAATTAAAAGTCTGTTTCTTGGTTTCTCTCTCTCTCTCTCTCTTTTCTTTTCCCTTTGCTCATTTGCTTTTTCTTAAATTCTACATATGAGTGAAATCATATGGTATTTGTCTTTCTCTGACTTAGTTCGCTTAGCATTATATTCCCTAGCTCCATCCATGTTGTTGCAAATGGCAAGATTTCTTTCTTTTTTATGGCTGAATAATATTCCACTGTATGTATATACCACATCTTCTTTACCCATTCATGGAAACTTGGGCTGCTTCCATAGCTTGGCTATGTAAATAATGCTCCTATAAACACAGGGGCATGTATTCCTTTGAGTTAGTGTTTTTGTATTTTTGAGGGTCATAGGGTAGTTCTATTTTTAACTTTTTGGGGGGACCTCCATACTTTTTCCCACAGTGGCTGCATCAGTTTGCATTCCCACCAACAGTACATGAGGGTTCTTTTTTTCCACATCCTTGCCAACATCCGTTGTATCTTGTGCTGTTGATTTTAACCATTCTGATGGGTGTGAGGTGATACTTCATTGTACTTTTGATTTGCATTTCCCTGATGATAAGTGATGAGGAACATCTTTTCAATCGTCAGTTGGCCATGTGTATGTCTTCTTTGGATAAATGTCTGTTCATGTCTTCTGCTCATTTTTAAATTGGATCATTTGTTTTTTGGGCGTTGAGTTTTATAAGTTCTATTTTGCACAATAACCCTTTATCAGATATGTCATTTGCAAATATCTTCTCCCATTCCATAGGTTACCTTTCAGTTTTGTTCATTGTTTCCTTCACTGTGCAGAAGCCTTTTATTTTGATGTAGTACTAATAGTTTATTTTTGCTTTTGTTTCCCTTGCCTCAGGAGACATATCTAGAAAAAAGTTGCTACAGCCAATGTCAAAGAGGTTCTCTTCTACAATTTTTATGGCTTCAGGTCTCACATTTAGGTTTTTAATCCATTTTGAATTTATTTTTGTGTATGGTGTGAGAAAGTGGCCCAGTTTCTTTCTTTTGTGTGTTGCTATCCAGTTTTCCCAATACCATTTGTTGAAGAGATTATCCCTTTCCCATTGGATATTCTTTCCTGCTTCGTTGAAGATTGACCATATAGTTGTGGATTTATTGCTGGGTTTTCTATCCTGTTCTATTGAGCTATAGGTCTACTTTTGTGCAAGTACCATGCTGTTTTGACTACTATAGCTCTGTAATATAACTGGAAGTCCAGAATTATGATGCCTCCAGCTTTGGTTTTCTTTTTCAAAATTGCTTTGGTTATTTAGGGTCTTTTGTGGTTCCATACAAATTTGAGAATTGTTTGCTCTAGTTCTGTAAAAAATGCTGTTGGTATTTTGATAGGGATTGCATTAAATGTGTAGATTGCTTTGAGCAGCATGGACATTTTAACAATATTTGTTCTTTCAATCCATGAGCATGGAAAGGCTTTCCATTTCTTTGTGTCATCTTCAATTTCTTTCATCAGTGTTTTATAGTTTTCAGAATACAGGTCTTTTACTTCTTTGGTTAGTTTATTCCTAAGTATCTCACGGCTTTTGGTGCAATTGCAAATAGGATTGCTACCTTAATTTCTCTTTCTGGTGCTTTATTATTGGTATAGAGAAATACACCAGATTTCTGTCCATTGATTTTATACCCTACAACTTCACTGAATTCATGTATCAGTTCTAACAGTTTTTTGGTGTAGTCTTTTCAGTTTTCTATATATAATATGATGTCATCTGCAAATAGTGAATGTTTTACTACTTCCTTACTGATTTAGTCCTTTTTCTCATATGATTGCTGTACCTGGGACTACCAGTACTATGTTCAATGGAAGTGGTGAGAATGGACATCCTTGTCTTATTCCTGACATAGAGGAAAAGCTCTCAGTTTTTCCCCAGTGAGGATGATATTAGCTGTGGATTTTTCATAGATGGCCTTTATTTTGTTGAGATATATTCCTTCTAAACCTACTTTGTTGAGGGTTTTTATCATGAATGGGTGTCAAATGCTTTTTCTCCATCTATTGAAATGATCATATAGTTCTTATCCTTTTTCTTATTGATGTGATGTATCATGTTGATTTATTTGTGAATATTGAACCACCTTGCAACCCAGGAATAAGTCCATTTGATTGTGGATGATTTTTTAAAATGTACTGTTGAATTTGGTTTGCTAGTATTTTCTTAAGGATTTTTGCATCTATGTTCATTAGGGATTTTGGCTTGTGGTTCTCTTTTTAGTGGTGTCTTTATCCCATTTTGGTATCAGGGTAATACTGGCCTCATAGAATGAATTTGGAAGTTTTCCTTCCTTTTCTATTTTTGGAATAGTTTGAGGAGAATATATATTGACTCTTGTTTAAATGTTGGGTAGAATTCACCTGTAAAGCTATCTGGTCCTGGATTTTTGTTTGTTGGGAGTTTCTTGAATACCGATTCTTTTCTGGTTATTGGTTTGTTCAGATTTTCTGTTTCTTCCCATTTCAGTTTTTGCAGTTTATACATTTCTAGGAATTTAGCCATTTCTTCCAGGTTGTCCAATTTGTTGGCATATAGTTTTTCATAATATTCTTCTATAATTGTATGTATTTCTGTGGTGTTGGTTATTATTTCTCCTCTCTCATTTGTGATTTTATTTGAGTCTTTTTTTTTTCTTGATAAGTCTGGCTAGAAGTTTATCAATTTTATTGAGTTTTTTCCAAAGAACCAACTCCTGGTTTCACTGATCTGTTCTGTTGTTTTTTTTTTTTTAGTTTCTATATCATTTATTTCTGCTCCAATATTTATTATTTTCTTCTTTCTACTGGCTTTAGGTTTTGTTATTCTTTTTCTAGCTCCTTTAGGTGTAGGGTTAGGTTGTTTATTTGAGATTTTTCTTGCTTCTTGAGGTAGGCCTGCATTGCTATAAGCTTCCCTCTTAGAACCACTTTTGATGCATCCCAAAGGTTTTGGACCATTGTGCATTTTTTTTTTTAAAGATTTCATTTATTTGACAGAGAGAGAGCGAGAGAGCGTGCGAGCACGAGTCAGGTGAAGGGCAGAAGGAGAAGCAGACTCCCCCCCAAGCAGGGAGCCTGATGTGGGGCTCAATCCTGGGACTCCAGGATCATGACCTGAGCTGAAGGCAGATGCTTAACCAACTGAGCCACCCAGGCACCCCTGTGTATCGATTTTTATTTGTTTCCATGTACTTTTTAATTTCTCCACTGATTTCCTGGTTGACCCATTCATTGTTTAATAGCGTATTACTTAACCTCCATGTATTTGTGATCTTTCCAGATTTGTTCTTCTAGTTTCATGGCATTGTGGTCAGAAAATATGCATGGTATGGAGAATGTTTATGTGCATTTGAAAAGAATGGGTTTTCTGCTGTTGTAGGATGGAATGTTCTAAATATATCTGTTAAATCCTTCTGGTCCAGTGTGTCATTCAAAGCAATTATTTCCTTGTTGATTTTTCTGGTTAGATGATCTAACCACTAATGTAAGCTGGGTGTTAAAGTCCCTTACTATTATTTTATTATTATT